CTGCAAATTGATTGATTGCATGCTCAAAAAGAGAAATGGCAGGATGACAAGGTCAATAAAAGTAACAGGAGTCATACAAGCCAAAATAAAACCATAAACCACAGCCAAGAAGAACAAAAGTCACAAGGGATTCTGTTCATGTGGAAATACCAATGGGCTGATTCCATTATTTTAACCAGTGACTGCTTGTCAATCTTTGCTAAATCTTGAGCACAGTGAGTATATATTTTTAGAATTGTGCTAAATAGCCAACATCTGTATTTGCACATGTGAGTGAGGTCGCAGGAATGTCTTTTTCACAGTTAATTAGTCTAAAAAAATAAATACAATTAAAAAAATAAAATACTGATTTAATACTTCAATGTTTGTATTTAATCAGAATATCGTATACTGTATGTCCCCATATCCTGACATATTTTCATGATACTACATGCAACAGTTGAACAATGAGTTGTTGACTCCAGCTGAATGCAGAAAATGTGAGTGTGATTGTGTCCGAATGCATGTTCACATGCATTAGTGTGTGTGTGACTTTGAGATCAAGGAATGGAGAGCCTTATTAAAGGATGCCATCTAACAAGCCTCTCCTCTAATGTCTGAACCCGTTTAATCGCCTGCACAGTAGCTGAAGATTTAGACCCCGTCTGAGCACAGAGCGCCCCAGCTAAAGACCGTTCACACTCACAGTTCTTTCACCCCTCTGCTATAGCTCTAGACAGCAATTACTCACACAGATAGGCAGTCAATATTCAGACACACTGCAGCTATTTCTTCGGTACATGCTGCAAGATAGGAAAAGCATTCACTGAATCTACTGGCACTTGGGGCAAGACATGCAGTCTGGAGTAACGTAAACGCAGCTATGGGGTTGTCTTAGATTGCATCTGAATTTCACATACTATTCATCCTAAATAGTACACAATATGTGTGTGAGTTTAGATCCCACAATTCTGAAATGACATCTTGCAATTAAGACTTTAAAAAAAATTATGAGTTCATAATACACAAATCGGACACTATATCGTAGTGTGAATTTCGCAGTGCAATACACATGTTAAGATATAAAGTCACACTGCATTAAAAATTCTGAATTGTGTGTTATTGTCAGGTTTCTGGACTGTCTGAGTTGTGTTTTTTGCTCCCCACGTGCTTTCCATGACCCAGTTTTCCCTCGTGTGCAATTTAATGTTAATTGTTTCATTAGTTCCAGGTGTTCCTCGTCATCCCATCCTCTAGTCTTGTGTATTTAAAGTGTTTCCTGTTTTGCGTTCTTTGTCTGGTATTGAATGTCTGTGAATGTCATCCTTGTGTTCTGTGTCTCCTGTTGGATAATTAAAATCTCCACATCTCTTCGTTTCCTCGATCCCGTGCTCCAACGGATCGTGATAGTTATAAACCCACAATTTAGAGGAAAAAAGTGATAAGTGTGGCACAAATCAGAGAAAGAAGTTGAAATTGCGAGATATAAACTCACAATTCAGGGGAAAAAAAGGTAAAACAAACTCAAGGTAAGGAAGGAAAAAAGTCAGGATTGTGAGGTAAATCAAAATTGTGATATTTATAATCTTGGAACTGCAACAAATAAAGATATAATTGAGATAATATCACAATTACCATATGGAGCCAGACTGGCCTCATTAATAATTCATGCAAAAGATATGATGCACACATATTTGAAACTTAATTCACATAGCAAAAAGTCTGCAAGATTTTTTCAAGTAACGTTAACAAATTGCAATTTACAGTGTATGATAAAGATTATCATATCTTTTTTTAACAAATGCAAAACACAATTCACAGATATAACTGTGCACAAGACGTTTTGAATGTTTACAATCGAGTTTATTACTGAATCGGCTACATTTGTGCAACATATCTTTTGCATGAATATCAATAAGACCAATCTGGCTCTATATTAGCTTTTTATTTTATTTATTTTGTATTCTGTGGCAGAAACAGGCTTCCATATATTTTCCCGTAAAAACATACTTCCTTTAAACATAGAGGTCATGACACACAACACTGGCTGGAGGTTTTCTTTAAGATGTTGTAAAGTGCATCTCCATTCAGCCTTTTTGTCCTTGGCTGTGACACTTATCTGAAGGCTCAAGTGTATGTTTGTTTGTTGTTTAAATGCACCTTTTGAATGATATAAATATGTGCAACAGATCCTACAGATGCATTGTGTGTGCCGCCTTTAGACTGCTGTACACATCACTTATTCATAATGCTTTGTCCTACATGTGCCTTTTTAAAAAGAATGAACAATACCTAAAAATTCTTATGGATCAATTCTGAATCACTACGCATCAGTGGATCAATTTTGCTCCATTAACTACAAAAACAGCAGAATAAGAGCGAGGGGACAAACACTCATCTATTCTCTCAGCTCTTTTACTCTCTGCATCTATCAATCTCCACCTGTCTGACAGTTCTTTTTATTCTGTCCCTGAAGAGGAGACGACCTTGACTCTTATGTCTCCTGGTGTGTGAAGCCAACAGTGAGCCAGTAATTTTCTCAAAATGATTCTGTTTGTACTCTTTCCCCTCTCGACATTTCAGTATATCTCTGTCTCTCCCAATTTTGGAGTGTGTCTCTCTCCAATTTTCATATTCTCAGGATTTTATTACCCGTACAAATGTTTATGAAATGCTCAGTTGTTTTTGTCAGACCCTGGGAATAAGGGCATGGGGACAAGGTAGAGTGCATCTCTTCTGAGTTAATTGTTTCCAGAGCTGTGCTTGTGTGAACTCATTTCTCAGCCTCAGGCACAGATGAGCTCGAGGTGCTTCTGCTTCTTGTTTCTGTTCACCTGTGTGGGACTGGTGGCAGCTCACAGACAGACCTGAGTAATAAATCTGCACTTAATAAAAGTCTATAGGCTCTCATTATAAACCTGCCAGTCACATTTCTGTCAATATGTGCATTAGCAATCAAATGTAATGTTCTTCTTCTTTTCTTATCTAAGCACACATTATTATAGGATGTAATAGGCGTACTTTTGTAATTGTAATTTGTCATATTCTACCGCTGAAATATCAAATGAATGCAGTATTTTTTAGTTTATTATATTTTTATATCTGTACAATTATTTTAATGTTGTATTTTGTAACCACCCTACCCTTCCAACCACAGAAAAAAATGCTACTGCTTGTATTTAAAAAAAAAACGTTTTACAATTGAACAAATCGGCTGTGTTCATAGAGTCAATAGTTATGTTTACATGCACTAATTTTACATGCACTTGTTTGTTTGCAGTTCATGTATTCTAAACAAAACCTCAACATAAGCGCAGTTGCCATGTTCAGAACCAGATAAAGTGAATGTCACCGGAGCTGACATATACATCAAAATAGCTTTTTAAGCAAATATTTAGTAAGTATTCAGTCACCATTTACCAGTTTGTAACACATAAGACTTACATAAACATACACAGGTTCATAAGACATAAAACGTGTGAAAACATACACATCACTCCACACGTACAGAAGGCAGGTTTGAATTTGATTGAGAAAACTGTCAAATTCAAGCGTTTACGTGCTTAAATTTGTTCCTATTGATCACACTACTTCAGGTCTGCACCACCCTTTCCAGTCCTATTGAAATTTTATTCAGATCTACTGAGTGAGGTGTATTTTCAATGCAATTGAGCCATCAATCCCATTACTAATGGATTATTCGGTTGCATGTAAACTTAGCTAATGTTTAAGACTGACAACCATATTCCATTTTTATACCAGGTGTGACTCTCAAATCGTCCTGTATATTTAAAGGGTGACAAGAATGGATCAAATGACGTCTGTATAGACAGGCATCAGAGACAATCCTCTTCTCTAACTCATGAATAATGCATGCAACCACAGAGAAAGAAACCCATATACCTGTAGCAGCAAATAACAAAACTTATCGTCTTCACAGATTTGATTCTTATTCTCAACTGTTTGGCATTTCAAAATACTAGTTCCAGCTCTTTCCAAACTCCCCAGCCTCACAATATTTTTTACATTTTTCATAACCTGAGAGGTTTATAGCACTCACATTAGTGACAGGCAGGAATGATATGGCCAGACTTATGTAACATGTACTGCATATCAATGATGTGACGACAGCAGGTCTTTTCATACACATATTAACTGAACTTCCTCTCAAAAATCAGCTGTGACTTTATATTTCAAGCACTGAGTCTGATTATAATTCAAGTTTCTTTCGTAATCAAACACAACCATACCTACTTTTAAAAACAGTACTTATTATGGAAATAACTTTAAAATAATAAACTGAATGTAATGTTTTTAGACACTTAACTGTGTGTTATAAATATATTTATTATAGTGTAAATTTATATTAAATGCGATTAAGTAAACTTAAGAGTCTTAAGTCCATATTTATATGTAATTTAATAATTACTTCTTTTGTCTTTTTAGATTACTTCTTTGATTATATATTTTGTAATTACATATTTGTAATGATGAAGCAGCAATTTAGTACATTTAAATTTATTTACATTTAATTTAATATCAAATAACACACTACAGTTACAATTATAATCAAGTACTTTACATGTGCTTTAGTATGTTAGTCAACACATCGAAATAAGTGTACCTCATTAAAGCATGACAAAAGTTTATTAAAATTTTAAATGTACTTTGAAATAAAATTTTAATTTGATATTACTACAAAGTGCATGAAAGTGTACTTTCTTTAAGTGGCCTTTTACTTCAATAATACTATATTATAATAAATAAGAAATAAATTATATAAAAATATACTTTTAAGATTCAAAGTACACTCCAAGTGCGAATTCAGTACAATTAAGCACACTTCTTTTTCACAAGGGTGTGTATCGTTCCAAATGGGATTGGCAACTGTATTACGCTGCTGTGTGAACATAGTTGTTTTTTTAGTGGAATGTGCTACAGTAAATGACAAGTCCAAGCCAGAAAAAATTAGATCGGTTCTTCAAACCAATGACAGCCAGACAATGTGAGCAAGAGCTTTTTCATTTGACATATGTGACATCTAACATCAGCCTGCCATTAGTACTTGACATCGTTTTCCCACCCCATCGCATGTCACACTTACCACGGGCTTTCTGGCTGATGTCCCGGAGAAGCACTTCATAACGGACGGGTTCATCATCCTCATTAAACACCATGTCATCTGCTGTGATGTTGTCCTCGCGCATCTGTGTGTACGGCCCCTCCACGGCAAAGTAGCACGGCCGGTCGTCTTTCTTATTATCGCTAAACATGAGCAGGGCGTGTTTGTGCCACCCGAAATGCCGGTGCATCCTGACCACAAACTCGCCCAGCTTCTTGTGCGTGGGGCCGATGTTGGTGATGGATGAGTACAAATTGAAACCCAGTGCTCTCGCTCCACCCGTGATCATCGGAACCTCCCAATGTGTTGTGAAACGGGCCACCGGTGAGGACGAGTAGTCACATCCTGGCCCAATGAAAGCCCAGGGGTTATATGAAAACTTCAGGTCCACGGCCACGAGAGGAGCCACTGAATCCGAACACACTCCTTCCTTGTTTTCGCTGCTGTTGAAAACCAGTTGTAGATGGTAGCCTGGCAGCAGGTTGGGGTCAGAGTTCGCCTTGTCCAGGGCCCAGTGCAAGGCAGGGCCGACCCTGGGCCATGCCCAGGGGTACTCAGTGTTGTGTAGAGGCAGGATGACTGCCAGGGTGATGTTCTGTTGAGGTGAATGGGGACTGAGAGACTGAGGCTGGTTTTGAGCGAGGGGCTCCAGTTCAACCACTCCAAATGACACGCCGCTCAGCAGAACTAGAAGAGTGAGCCTCAGCGGCCCCATCAGGAACACTTCCATTCTCAAAATGGATGGGAAGGACTAAGACTCTGAAAACATCAAGACAGAGACACACTTGAGACATACTTTCAGCAAAACTGAAAATGCCCTTCATTCACAAAGTTACTTGTGACAGAAATTCAGCGAGAAAATTGTGTACAACTAAAAACATCTACAACAATACGCAGAGGTTCTTCAGAGGAAAAAAGATTCTTCCGATAATTAAAAGGTTCTTCACGCTAAGAAAAAAATGCTTCTCTTAAAAACGGTTTCATGAAAGTTTCTTTGGGAAACCCATAATGGTTCTTTAATGGCTTTGCTAGGGAAAAAATATACATTTTAGGAGTACACGTATAGCCTATACTGTAGCCTATATATTTGATAACACTTTAGTATACCAATTCTCACTATTAACTAGTTGCTTATTAGCACGCCAATTATTAACATATTGGCTGTTTATTAGTATATATAAAGCACATATTCTGCATGACCATGTTCTATATCCCTAACCCTACCCAATACATAAACTTAACAACTACCTTACTAACTATTAATAAGCAACATATTAGAAGTTTATTGAGGTAAAAGTCGTAGTTAATCGTTTGATTAAAAAAAATCAAGTCAGGAATCTTGGTGTGATTCTGGAGACAGACCTTAGTTGCAGTAGTCATGTCAAAGCTGTAACTAAATCAGCATACTATCATCTCAAAAACATTGCAAGAATTAGAGGTTTTGTTTCCAGTCAAGACTTGGAGAAACTTGTTCATGCCTTTATCACCAGCAGGGTGGACTACTGTAATGGTCTCCTCACCGGCCTTCACAAGAAGACCATTAGACAGCTGCAGCTCATCCAGAACGCTGCTGCCAGGATTCTGACTAGAACCAGAAAATCTGAGTATATCACACCAGTCCTCAGGTCCTTACACTGGCTTCCAGTTATATTTAGGATTGATTTTAAAGTACTTTTACTCGTTTATAAATCACTCAATGGCCTAGGACCTAAATACATAGCAGATATGCTCACTGAATATAAACCTAACAGACCACTCAGATCATTAGGATCGAGTCAGTTAGAAATACCAAGGGTTCACACAAAACAAGGGGAATGTGCTTTTAGTTATTATGCCGCCCGCAGTTGGAATCAGCTTCCAGAAGAGATCAGATGTGCTAAAACATTAGTCACATTTAAATGCAGACTCAAAACTCATCTGTTTAGCTGTGCATTTATTGAATGAGCACTGTGCGATGTCCGAACTGATTGCACTATATTGTATGTATAATCGTTTTCTATTCTAAACTGTTTTAAATTTATTTTAAACCTCTTAAATAATTAAAAAAAAAATCATTTTCAAAGTTTTTAAATTCCTTGTTTTATTGTTGTGATTATTTTTTTCATTTATTTTATGTAAAGCACTTTGAATTACCATTGTGTATGAAATGTGCTTTACAAATAAACTTGCCTTGCCTTGCCTTGATAATAGCGAGAATTGGACCTTAAAATAAAGTGTGATTTTTCATAATTGAGTAGACTACGCTATGTAATGTTGCATATGACACGTTCTGGCGTTCAGCGACATCTGGACGGAGCGCAAACAAATGAAACGGAACCAGGGGGTCTAGAGACGCGTTACTAAAAGTTTAGCTTAACTATTTTCATTTTACACGTCTTAAAACGCAAAGCTGAAAAATAAAAAACCGGTAAGGCAAGAGCGCTCTCTCACTTCAACCCTTCAACCTAATATATTACAACACACTTTTGATATAAAACATCATTTAACAGTCAAAAACAGTAAAAATAGTTCAATTCGTATTTTACCACAGATCAGGTCGTCATTTGGTGTCATAATCCCTCTGCAATCCTAGCCTTCCTCCAAAAATTAAAATCAGTGTCTCGTGAATGCGGCGAAAAACTCCTGCTCTCTCAGAGAAAACACGTTGATTTTTACAGCTCAAACAGACTCATCCAACTTACAGGAGCGAGACGTTAGTATCGTGACCTGACCCTCTCCACAGAAACCAGCATGATTTCTCAAGCTCCCCTCTTTGATCAGGTCGTCATTTGGTGTCATAATCCCTCTGCAATCCTAGCCTTCCTCCAAAAATTAAAATCAGTGTCTCGTGAATGCGTGTCTCGTGAAAAACTCCTGCTCTCTCAGAGAAAACACGTTGATTTTTACAGCTCAAACAGACTCATCCAACTTACAGGAGCGAGACGTTAGTATCGTGACCAGACCCTCTCCACAGAAACCAGCATGATTTCTCAAGCTCCCCTCTTTCTCCGAATGCGCCGAGGAAACGGGATTCGCAAAGAGGAAATCTTTCCCTTTCCTGGTGCGCCTGTAGATTTCTTGGAAACTTTGTTAATGAGTATTGAGGCTTCTTTAGTTAAAAACGGTTGAACATGTCCTCTTCTCCTTGCTCTTGTCCCGACTGGAGAAGATGGGCAAAATCTCAGCGAGTGTAGATCTGATTCAGTATGCGCGCGATGTCACAACACAAAGTGAAATCAAAGTGAAAAACAAGCTCACATTTGCATCTACAAAACTCGACTTTTTTTATTTCACAAAATAAAACGAAAGGTGCGGGTTTAATGTGATGCACGTCTATGTTTGAAGGCTGTTCTCCTCAAACTCATCCAATGAGTGTTGTTGGGCCAGTCAAAGCGCCGTGAATCTCAAGGTGGGAGGAGGAGAGAACCGAGAGAGGGAATGACACAGTGTGCTAGTCTAAGAGCAGGCGGGAGAGGAGGAGGAGAAAGAGAGAGATGTAGAAAGAATGTTTACAGCACTGTTGCGCAGCCATGTGGCATCATTACCCCATCTCAGTCATCAGAACCTCAGATAGATAGATAGATAGATAGATAGATAGATAGATAGATAGATAGATAGAACAATTGATTGAAAGAGTGATGTGTCTTTATCTATACATAATAAATATACACCAGAACACTCACATATATTATGCAAACAAAAACTTTATTTTGGATGCGATTAATCTTTGACAGCACTAATTTTTTATAATAAAAATAGATAGACAGACAGACAGACAGACAGATAGATAGATAGATAGATAGATAGATAGATAGATAGATAGATAGATAGATAGATAGATAGATAGATAGATAGATAGGACAACAGAACATGCATTCTTAATTTTCTAAAATTTATTTCTGTTTTTAAAAATGTAGCATTTTTACATTTAGTTACCCCAGTTTTTAATATGTTTACAGCCATATATTTTTTATGGTCACATATTGTGTGTGTGAGTGCGCATTTTAAATGAATACTTATTGATAAGGACATTTGTGGCTCTGTGATTGTGAATGAATCATTTGTTTAGGAATTACATTGCTGCTTGACATATGTTTGTTGTAGCTACAAAATGACTGTGCCCTACACAACAGAACATGCATTCTTAATTTTCTAAAATTTATTTCTGTTTTTAAAAACTTAGCATTTTTATATTTAGTTACCCCAGTTTTTAATATGTTTACAGCCATATATTTTTTATGGTCACATATTGTGTGTGTGAGTGCGCATTTTAAATGAATACTTATTGATAAGGACATTTGTGGCTCTGTGATTGTGAATGAATCATTTGTTTAGGAATTACATTGCTGCTTGACATATGTTTGTTGTAGCTACAAAATGACTGTGCCCTACACAGGATGAGAAGCCACTGTATCATTGTGTAACAATGACTTGACCTCTTGCATGGGAATACACAGGAAAAACACTTTGCAGGATAGATGAGAAAGCAGGACTTGTCGTGTTGTCCCTGCCACTGTGCTAGTGTTTGGTGTGAGGCGAGGTGAGGTGGGGTCCTGTTCGACCTCCGGCATTTTAATCACATGCCTTTCTTCCTCCTCATTGTTCCAGCTTTTTCGCCCACTTCCTCCCAATTAAAATAGTCTATTTTTGTGCAGTCTGTTACGCTTTTATTGGCTTCTGCTCTGTACTCTCCTCCGCTCTGTTCTGTTCTCCGTTCGGCCTTCTGCAGGAGCGTCTCATCTTGTGCGCCCTCAGCAGCACTCACCCTGACAAACAACTTCCAGATCAATAAAGCACAGGGAGGACTTCAGCCGCTGGCTTCCCGTATGCAGAGCGTGCTGGGAAAAACATGCTGCGCGCCAGGCCAGCACCTCCCGATTATGGCTGGTCGTAAATAAGAAGCGTAGGGGAGGGCTGGACAGCTGATAAATTGTGAGCCACTTTCTCTTTCCCCGCCTCCAGGAGGGCCGATGTGTTACTTTCAAACATCTACCACCGTCCTTGTGACCCAGCTGACCAAATGCCCTACATTCATTCCCTGATTGCCCATGCTGCTTATCCGAACCCCCCTCGCACCTTTGACCTCATCCGGTCAGCCACACACATACCAGTGGCTACAGTTTCCAAAACAGGATATGTTGCACCCTTACTCATTCTGTCACTCGCTCTTTCTCTGACAATGCTCTATTGCTACCATGTTACTCTTGCTATTTTTGCAGTATATAGTAAGTATACGGTGTGCAGTATAATAAATTCCTTTGTGCATGAAATACCTGTCCCCTCTACCAAAATGTGTAGTGCATCAGAGCACACCTCAATCAAAAAAGGAACTGGAAGTTACATCGGCAGAAAAAAATTCGGCAAATGTTACAACATTGTGGCTATAGATTAAAAATGTATACCATTTTAAAAAGTCAATTTGTTTTCAGAGATGAAATGATGTCACTTGTTACATAATAAAATCATAGCAAATGTATCATGTATCATATCTGTTATGGCTGGTCGTAAATAAGAAGCGTAGGGGAGGGCTGGACAGCTGATAAATTGTGAGCCACTTTCTCTTATCCCGCCTCCAGGAGGGCCGATGTGTTACTTTCAAACATCTACCACCGTCCTTGTAACCCAGCTGACCAAATGCCCTACATTCATTCCCTGATTGCCCATGCTGCTTATCCGAACCCCCCTCGCACCTTTGACCTCATCCGGTCAGCCACACACATACCAGTGGCTACAGTTTCCAAAACAGGATATGTTGCACCCTTACTCATTCTGTCACTCGCTCTTTCTCTGACAATGCTCTATTGCTACCATGTTACTCTTGCTATTTTTGCAGTATATAGTAAGTATACGGTGTGCAGTATAATAAATTCCTTTGTGCATGAAATACCTGTCCCCTCTACCAAAATGTGTAGTGCATCAGAGCACACCTCAATCAAAAAAGGAACTGGAAGTTACATCGGCAGAAAAAAATTCGGCAAATGTTACAACATTGTGGCTATAGATTAAAAATGTATACCATTTTAAAAAGTCAATTTGTTTTCAGAGATGAAATGATGTCACTTGTTACATAATAAAATCATAGCAAATGTATCATGTATCATATCTCGAGGGCTGAAAAACTTCAGACAATTACACATCTGAAGAAATTTTTAAGTGAGGAGTTTTTGGTCAAATAATGAGCTATTTTCTGTATGATTAAATTTTTTACTTAGTGTTATTTTTTTTTCCAAGTAAATCACATATTGGCTTGGGCAGAAAAAAATTCGGCAAATGTTACAACTTTGTGGCTATAGATTAAAAATGTATACCATTTTAAAAAGTCTTCAATTTGTTTTCAGAGATGAAATGACGTCACTTGTTACATAATAAAATCATAGCAAATGTATCATGTATCATATCTCGAGGGCTGAAAAACTTTAGACAATTACACATCTGAAGAAATTTTTAAGTGAGGAGTTTTTGGTCAAATAATGAGCTATTTTCTGTATGATTAAATTTTTTACTTAGTGTTATTTTTTTTCCCAAGTAAATCACATATTGGCTTGTATAACATCAAATAATAATACTGTACATTACAAATAATAGCGTTACATAACTAATATTTTTTTATAAAATAGATGAACGGATAGATAGATAGATAAAAATTGACAGACAGATTGTAGGATAGATAGATAGATAGATAAAAATGGACAGATAGATAGATAGATAGAGACTGTCAGATAGATAGATAGATAGATAGATAGATAGATAGATAGATAGATAGATAGATAGATAGATAGATAGATAAAAATGGACAGATGGACAGATAGATAGATATAACATCATACTGTACATTACAAATAATAGCATTACATAACTAATATTTTTTATAAAATAGATGAACGGATAGATAGATAGATAGATAGATAGATAGATAGATAGTTAAAAACGTTAATGCATAATGCATTGGCTTTCACACACTACACTTAAAAACTAGCAGGCATGCAGTATATACTGCACAGTACGCAGTAGGCCAATTTTTTTCCCAAGTAAATCACATATTGGCTTGTATAACATCAAATAATAATACTGTACATTACAAATAATAGCATTACATAACTAATATTTTTTATAAAATAGATGAACGGATAGATAGATAGATAGATAGATAGATAGATAGATAGATAGAGACTGTCAGATAGATAGATAGATAGATAGATAAAAATGGACAGACAGATTGTAGGATAGATAGATAGATAGATAGATAGATAGATAGATAGATAGATAGATAGATAGATAGATAGATAGATAGATAAAGACAGACAGACAGACTCTCAGATAGATAGACAGATAGATAGATAGATAGATAGATAGATAGATAGATAGATAGATAGATAGATTTTTAAAAATGTTTATGCATAATGCATTGGCTTTCACACACTACACTTAAAAACTAGTAGGCATGCAGTATATACTGCACAGTACGCAGGAGGCCATTTAGAACACAGCCTCTCTCTTTGTAGCATTTCCAGGGTTGTTATTATGGGTAACCTCCTCTCATCTCTTCCCTCTCCTCCCTCTCTCCTACGTTCTTCTGTATTACTCACTCAAACTTAGAGGAGTTCAACCTCCAATAAATCCTCCACATTCAAAGTTCTCTTCTCAGTTATAAACAAACACAAGTGAGCTTTACCAGTGATGTATGTAATCACTATATGGTAAAAACGGAACAGCCTACACACATTCCTGTGCGTGATAAAAATACGCACAAACTGTTCTTGCTTGTTTTGTTTTGG